GACTTCAGGTTATAACACTGATATTGGACACCTTTTCTACAAACTTTATATGTAGTTCTATTGTATGTACAAGAGTCAGGAGAACTATCTTGGCACCCTTCTGGTTTAACTGTATGGTAAATCAAAGTCTTGGTTATCTGGTTTCCTTGTTTTGTAGTTTTGATACAGTTTTGACAACCTTGGTTTCCCTGTGTTTCTGCTCTTTCTTGTGTGTGCTACTCAATAATTCTTTATTAGAGGGTTTCTGCATTATGACCTCTCGTGTAGCCATTGTACTGATTTTTGTGTAGGAATGTGTGTGCATATTAAATAATTAACAAATATTACGAGCTGTAGAATCCTCATATCTTCCACCGTGCGTAGAGAGACAGCTTCCTGGGGTGTCTCAGCAGGGTTGTTGATCACACTGTGTCTTAGGAACCCGTTGCTGTATTTCTTGTAAATTTCAACACCAAAGGCTTGTCAGTCTTGTCCACCTTGTAGGTCACCGGATCTGCAGGTGCAGCTGCTTTCACTCTACTCCAATGGATCCAAGACTTTCCTTCCAAGGTTTTCACTGCCAAAGGAGAACACATGACAACAGTATACGATCCTTTCCATCTTGGGCTCAAGGGATCTGATTTCCAGTGCTCTACCCACACTCTATCTCCTGGCTTGACTAGGCAACTGTGCTGACTCAACAGTAGAAGTTTGAGAAACTATTGCGTAGCCAGAGTATCTACATCCTTTATCCATAAAGCTAGAACCATCAGTAAACCATTGATAGTCTGGATTATGCAAGGGTTGGTCTGTAAGGTCAGGTCTGCAAGAATATTGTAGTTCTATTGTTTGCATGCAGTTATGAACAGGTTTGGTTGAATCAGGAATTGGCATTAGAGTTGCTGTGTTTAAAGTTGAGCATTGTTGCAGTGTAACTTGTGGATTTTCTAATAAAAGAGCCTGTATTTTATGCATTTGTTGATTACTTATCCATAAATGTCCTTTATTGTCAATGATTGTCTGCAAGGCATGACTAGTATAAACAGTCACTGGAGCTGAAAATGTTAACTTGTTTGCCTCCTGCAGTAATAGCATAACTGCTGCTAGAATTTTTAAACATTGGGGCCAGCCTTGTGAAGAAATGTCCAGGTGTTTTGACAGATAAGCGACAGGGTGGTTCCAACTTCCCTGTTTTTGGGTAAGGACCCCTAAAGCTACATTTTGTCTTACATCCACATAAAGTGAAAATGGCTTAGATATATCAGGTAGTCCTAGGGCAGGGGCTGTGGTGAGAGCCTGTTGCAATTGTCTCATTGCTTGGGTTTGTTCCTCTTGCCACAAAAGAGGTTCTTTTTCTGGTCCCCTTAAAGCTTGGTACAATGGTTTAGCTGTGAGAGCGAAGTTAGGAATCCAAATTCTACAGAAGCTGGTAATTCCCAAAAAGGCTCTAACTTCCTGTTTTGTTTGTGGGATGGGAATCTGTAACATAGCTTGCTTTCTCTGGGGGCCCAAAGTTCTTTGTCCTTGTGAAAGTTCATAGCCTAAATACATTACAGTCTCTTGAATTAATTGTGCTTTCTTTTTGGATGCTCTATAACCACAGTCTTGTAACAATTGGAGCAGTCTGGATGTGTTTTCAAAGCACTCCTCCCTGCTTTGGCCAGTTACTAAGACATCATCGACATATTGAAGGCAACAATCCTCTTGTCTGAATAACTTCAGATAAGCAAGATCTTGGGCTAGGGCTTGACTAAAGCACGTTGGCGAATTTTTAAATATACGGCTACCACAAGGATTTGATTGCTTGCCAATAGATTTATTTAGAACAGATCTGGTGGCTCCCGTGTCAACTAGCATCGGGACAACCTGTCCTCCCACCCGTATTTTAACAATGGGCTCTGGGGGTGGGGCGATAGAACCCTGTCCTCTTCAGTCTTCCCATTCCATGTCAGCTAAGCCGATCATGTTTTCTTCTCTTTCCTCTGTCTGATTGGGATAAACTGGATGCCCTCTTCCTTTGAAGCTCTTTCTGAAGCCTCTCTGGAAAGTCCCTCTAAATCCTCTTCCTCTTTCTTTTCCATACTGGCGAGATTGTCCCCTGGGTTGGCCATTCCTCTGGGGGCACTCCCTTTGCCAGTGTCCTTCTTGTTTACAGATGGCACACTGATTGGGTCCTAGGCATGTTCCTCCCAATGCCACGGCTAACATTTCAACTTTCTTTTTTTCTTTTTGATCTGATTTGCGTTCCTCCTCCCTCTCACTGTTACGGAACATATTGAAGCATTGAAACATTAGTGTTATCTGGTCCAGGAACCAACACCTCTCTTAGAGGGGCAATATTTTCTTCTGTTTTTTTTTCTGCCTTAGTCCTGGTGCGGCTAGAAACTGAGGTTTCACTTTCAAAGTTATTCAAGCTTTTATCTGTTTCTTGAAGGGATCCAGCTGTTGCTAATTTTTCTTCCTCACCGGCTTCTGGCTGAAATTGGGCTTCTCTTTCAGGCAGAGGGAGTGGAATTTGCTGATTTATTCTCTCTTCTTCTCTTCTAGGAACGTAGGGGGGTGGTCTGGCAATTTCCTCCCTATCTTCCTGGCTGAAAATCTTAGCTTTTGTTTGAGGCTTGGCTTTTTGGCTTGCCAAATATATCTTTGCACACTCTATCTGACATTTTGCTAACCATCTCGGTTTTTCTGCAATGTTGATTTTCCATAGGGGTACTGGTCCCAATAACCATTTCCAGTCACAATTTGATGAACCCATGCAATGAGTTCGGGATTCGCCGATCCCATTTTTGGCCACCCTACGCCCAGGGCAGTCCACTCAGATTCACAGAATCTTTTTAACATGGCTGGATTTGGTTTTGGATCTCCATAATCCCTAGAAAAACCCTTTTTTGAAATTCTTTAACATGCACTGGAGTGGCGTCTGGTCAACGCTCTCCTTTGACTTTTTCCCACCCATTTCTCTACTACACTACCATTGATCACTCAGCATGAGCTACAATGGTTTAACCTCCCACACAATCCTGCCTATTGAAGGCTTAAGGACGCCACCTTTGCCTTCTAGGGGGTGATCAGTCCCCTCTTCCGATCCAAAAGGGATCAGGTTTCCCTTGTTTTACAATACTTGCCTGCAGGCGTTTTCCAGACTCCTTTGTTGATTTAAGATCTGTCTGTCACCCTCATGGATCCTCAGATTGGAATGCTTCCTCGTAGTCCGAAGCCGGCTTTTGGAGCTGTCGTCGTTTAGGAGAGGGGGGGGGGGCCACCAGGGCAATCCGTCTTGGAAGGTTAAATCCTTTTTCTTAAAAGCCCTTAAAAATGTCCCGGCGGAGAAATCGCCATAAATCTTGTGGAAAAATAAAGCCTTAAAAAAATAAAGGGCCTTTTACGAAATTCCGAAGGTGAAAGAGAGATTTTATTTTTGCGCAAAAAGGTTCAGAAGTGACTTAACAATCAGCAAATTTCTGAACAAGGGGCAGGGTCTAAACTAAAGCTTTATAGGTTTCTTTCTCTCAGGAACAAAGGAAGCATAGATGGAATCTTACATTGTATATGGAATCTACTTTGTGTAACATTCAGATATTTTGTCACACATTAGGTCCATTTCTCATGGGAATACAATGAAGGCAGTTTTTACTTTTATACAATGTTTCTAAATATGCATTAGGTCATTCACGTACTGTTAATACAGCTTTTTGGCTAACACAGCTTTCTTTCAGAGATTATGCAGACACATGATTTTTGCTTTTAGTGATTTTTCATCATCATCATCATCATCATTATTATTATTATTATTATTATTATTATTATTATTATTATACTTTATTCTTTATTCTATGTTATTCTATTCCTTTCCCACTTTAAGGCAATTCATGCATATATAGCAGATCTAGTTCCAGGTGGTGCACAATGACTCTTCATGGGTTTTATAACTGAGGTCAGTCTTTATGACCTTTGGTGAAACTGTCACCTGGGACAGTTTGCTGCTGCTGTGCGTGAAAGGATACAATAAATTCTGGGAATTGAAGTCCACAAGTCATAAAAGGGACAATTTTGAAGACCCCTGCAATAAACAATTGAGGAAACTAGGTGTTGAAAGAAAAGTCTTCATCGTGGTTCAGTCCAAGCTGGGAATAAATGCTTTAGAAAAAAGGTTGCAGTTTATTGAAGAGAAGAGCCAGACAGGAAGATGGCTCTGGAAAAGAGAGAGAGAGCACATGTAGGGAGTGGGTTTTTACACCCTCTGGAGCCTTTTGTTTGGAGGTGTTTCCTGTTCCTGTTTGAGGCTATTTCCTGTGTGATGTATTCTGACCTGAGTCTGGGTGTGCCCTTTGGCATCTGTGGGTTAATCCTATTATGTCCTGTCTTAGAGTTTGGGTGGGGTATGTAGATTTTAAGTCTCTTTGTCTTCCTAAGCTTCTAGCTTCAACCTTCCTGATGGTTTACATCTGCATTTCTATAGAGCTGGTTTCTCTTGGGGAAGGGAGACTTGGGGCTATTAAGAAAACCTGGTCATGCTTTTCTGCCTCTTTGCCCTTTTAATATTTCCTTCTCTGGGGACTGACTTCCCACATAGGTATGCTTAGTCTAATGAAGAGAAGGATTGGGTGGGGGTGGGGGGGTGGCATGATATGAGCCGAGGTGGCGCAGCAGTTAGAGTGCAGTACTGCAGGCCACTTTAGCTGACTGTGTTCAGCAGGTCAGCGGTTCAAATCTCACCGGCTCAAGGTTGACTCAGCCTTCCATCCTTCCGGGGTAGGTAAAATGAGGACCCAGATTGTTGGGGGCAATGTAAATATATATATATATATACATTGCTTACTGGTGTACACCGCTTAGAGAGTGCTTGCACTTAAAGCGGTATAGAAGTCTCATAAATAAGTAAATAAATAAATGATAGTTGTTTTCCAGTCCTTGAAGGGCTGTCACAGAGAAGAAAGGGTCAGCCTCTTCTCCAAAGCACCCGAGGGCAGGCCGATAAGTAATGGATGGAAGCTTGTTAAAGAGAGAGATCCAGCCTAGAACTAAGGAGAAATTTTCCGGTCAGAGAGAACAATTAATCAGTGGAAAGGCTTGCCTCTGAAGCTGTGGGTGCTCCAACACTGGAGGTTCCCGAGAAGAGACTGGACAGCCATTTGTCTGTAAAGTTACATGGTCTCCTTCTTGAGTAAGGGGTTGGACTGAATTCCCCCCAAAGTCCCTCCCAACTGTTATTCTGTATTCTAAATAATGGATCTCAAACAATGTCTCCTTATGTGAGAAAAGGGGAAGGGATAGTTCAGGATAGCAAGGGATCCTGCAACCCAGGACATGAGCTCAGGAACCTCTAGCCCGTTTGGGCCGTTCAGTGCTGTAGCTCTGAACCCTGGTTAAGCTCTCGTGATAGCCGTGAGAAAAAGGCTGAAGTCGGTTTTGCGGTGGAAGCCGAGGAACTTTAGCGTGATCCTCGGAACCCACATCTCCCACACCCAGGTACAGGTCGGTATACGAAGAGTAAGTGTCATTGCTGGCATGGCTTAAGCAACTGTCGGGACATGGGCTGGAATTCCTTGAGTAGATACCTTGGTCTAGATCGACACCATAATAATCTGTATTGTGGACATTGCTAATGTTCAAACTGGAAAAGTCGTTGAGCATAGAATAATAGCCATGGTCTCCCAAAGATTCGTACTTGGGGTATGGATCCGCGTAATTCATCGCAGCCCCGTGGCTATTGGTAACCAGGATTGGCGGGTAGTGCATGCTGGCCATGTGTTCCAGGGAGGATTTCTGATGGGCGAACTGAGAAGAAGACCCAGGCACGGGGCTACTCGCCGACCGAGCATTTAAGGCCCCGACCGCATGGCTTTTGGGAGGCGGAAGAGTTGGGACGCTTAACGCCGTCACAAGAGACGGGACGGAGCTAGCCTCGGGCTTCCGCATCATCGACAGCCGGTCCTCCGGTTCCATCGCTACGGACCGGATGCTCGGATCAGACTGGCGTTTTGGAGGGTTGCGCTTCACCTCTGAAGGGTTCTCCCCCCCTTTGCAAAGGGCCGGCCCCGAGCCACATTTGGCCAAGGCGCCTTCGCTCATGGTTTTCACTGCAGATAATTTTGCACTGATGCGAAGCTCGTCGGCGACAGATCTCAAGGGTTGGTTTGTCCGTTCTGGGTGGTAATACTTACATTTGTGTCCATACGTGCATTTTTTCCCTGGAGGGGTGGGGGACAAAAAAAAGTCCTCTCTGATTAAGCTTGTTCCTTGCCAACTATATGTCTTAACTGGATAACCCTAATGAAATCTTTTGCTCTTACCACAAAACCGTAAAATTAAGACATCGGTATTTTCTTACATCATGAATAAAAGGCCCCACAATTTTCCTTGTTAATAGATCCAAATTCTTGTCACGGTTTTAAGCCAAGGGACAATGCTCCATGAAGGCAGCTAGAGCAGGCCCCACAAATAAATATATTCACTCGATAATAAATGTTCACTCAAAATGAGGTGCTAGAAAGCATCTCATTCAGTCCTTTAATATCCACTTGGAGTTTTGAGATCTTAAATAAAGATCTTCCACAGATATGATACTAGATGTCAGCTAGTAAATGCTTTGGGGTTACAAACTCTCAGCTACATTAGAACACAGTTTGTTGTGATAGTGTTATGATTAAAGAGAATCATTAGTATCTATTCTTCTCTAAACAAAATGCATTTCTTGACTGTAGATATAATTGAAACCCTAAAGGCAAGAGAGAGCAGAAAAACTAAGGCTTTACTCGCATAGATCAATCTGATCACAACCCATGGATCATGAACTAGAGAAACAGTGTTTCTATGCTGCCTCCGAATTTTAAAAATTCGGAGTAAATTCTTGATTAGCCAATAAATTTAAATTGTATTTTCTTCAAAGTCGTACTACTTTACTACAATTATGAGGTGCAAATAATAGTAAGGTAATTATTTAATATATTGATTGCTTATTTTAATGTTCCCCAACCTGGAATCTTCCAGAGATTCAGAGGACTTCAATTGTCTAATGTTTAAAAAATGCTGGTTAGGCAGTCTGAAAAGTATTCCTCAACTCTTTAAAGCGTGGGGTCTCCAAACCTAGCAACTTAAAACTTGTGGACAACTCCCAGAATTCCCCAACTAACCCTGAGAACATGAGACCAAGTTTCTCCAAATCCCCCCAGTCACCCACTCACCATAAGGGCACGGTTGCTTTTTGTGTTCTGGAATAACTGGCTTTTTCCTTAAGAAGTTCTCCAGGCTAGGGCCGTGGCGTCCCAATGGGTCATCAGGTGGCATAAACCTAAAAAAAGGAAATGCAGCTAAAGTTAACTGGCTAGCATTAATCTCTCTTTGACAAGCTTCCCTCTCTTACTTCTTGTCCTGCCCTCAGGTGCTTTGGAGAACAGATGACGTGATAGTCTTCCAAAAGTTGAGGGGCTATGACGGAGAAGTGGGGGTCAACCTATTCCCCAAAGCACCTGAGGACAGGACAAGAAGAAACAGATGGGAGATCAATAAAGAGATCCAGCAAAAAACTCGGGAGAAATTTCCTGTCAGCGAGAACAATTAATCAACGGCTCGCTTCCAGCAGTTGTGGGTGCTCCATTACTGGAGGTTTTTAAGAAGAGAATGGACAGCCATTTGTCCAGAATTATATAGGGACTCCTGATTTAAGCAGGGGGTTGGACTAGAAGACCTCCAAGGTCCCTTCCAGCTCTGTTAATTAGATTCCCTCTGGCCTTGACCCATCAAGTACTAGTCTGCAATTCTTTCCAAATATCTAAGGGGCTTTGAAAAGGTAGAGGGTAAAATAAGAACACGGAAAAGGATGAATTAAGTTATTACTTAAGGCAGAATAAACAATCTGTAGTTCGCATAGGGCTCCAACTTCTGAGAAGCTCACTGAGAGCATGCCACTGAAATTCAATGCAAATCATCTACTTTGGAGAGGGTGATTATTGCCAAGTTCTATATTCATTCATTCTAAAATAAGTGTTTATATCTCCAGTAGAATCAATGGGCTCAATTTTTCCCTTAAATCATTCTGATACATACAAAAAAAGCAGTTGTTTCTCCTAATGCCCCCCGCCCCGGAGTCCTTTGGGGTTGATTTTCTGCTTCTTCATCATCAAGATCATCAAAAAAGAACTGTTGTTAAAAAAAATGTTTATTATTGTTGCTTTAGGCAGGCACAAACCTAGATAGGTGCAAACTTCTACCGTTCCACCCTGAGCTGCAAATATTCTCTTTTATTGCTACAAATCGGTTTGCAAACAGGGACAGGTGCAAAACTGCAATACTGCTTGTGCCCAACATATTAGTTCTGCTTTTAATAACAAAAGGTAAAGTTTCCCTACAGGTTGTGTTTGACTCAAGGGCACAGGGCTCTCATCTCCATTTCTTGGCTGAAGACAATTTCCATGGTCACTTGGCCAGCGTGGCTATATGCCAAAGGCACGCGGAACGCTGTCACCTTCCCACCGAAGTGGTACCTATTGATCTACTCTCAAACTGCTAGCTGGGAATAAGCTTTGATTAAATTTACTGAAATGAAAGGAAAGCCTATGGGGGGGGGGGAAGAGTGATGATGAAAATGCACACGGGCTTTTCTCCAGATCCGTGGGGTTTCTATTCAACAAAATCCTTAAAAATTTCAGAATTCATGGACATTTGCTGTCATCTTCTTTCACTAGATGGTGCCTGTTTGCAAAATTATCTCCATTCTGTCAGCAGCAACCTTTCCATCTAGAGAAATGTATGAATGAGGAATTCTAAAGAACAGCCCCCCCCAAAAAAGCATTTAAAAACCCCTAGACTACAGCTTTCAGAAACTCGAGATAATGCTTGTCTGTCACGTTTGGAGTCAAAATAATGGAGTCGTTTTTATCCTTACAGCAAAGCTTTTTCCTGTGATGGGGGCCATGATTGTTCTGGCTCGTAGAATAGGCCTCAAAAGCCCCTCCTTCAATCCACAAGCAGGAGAGAGAATGGGATTAAATCCTTTTAGTGTCTCTTACTTTTCCGCTAGGAAATACTCTGACCATTTCTTTTCCCAAAGAGGACTTGGCAGATGAAGCTGGTTGAAGCCGTCATTGAAGTTATGAAACACTAAAGCTACTTCCCCAAATGATTAATAAATTCTTCCAGCACAGTTCAAATTTGCAGAATATTCTTTGAACACCCAATTTTCTTCCCACTGTGCCCTTCCTTAATTCCATTTTGGTTTCCAGAAAAATCAGTCGGGGGCGGGGGGGAGAGACACTGATACTACTTTTGTGTTAATGTATATCCCACTTTTCACAGGGTTCACAATGTATTAAAAGTGAGTGTAAAGTGGAAACGATCTTAAGCAAACTGAGTATTCAAGAAGTTAGCATACAAAATAAGCACTAGGTACCAATCAACTCACATGGTTCAAAACGTTCCTCAATGTAAGCATTAATATAGCCCATAAGATTTAAATGGTCATGCAAATTTTTTTTCAATTATATTATGCAAACATGGTATGCAAATACCCTCCATTATAGTAGACAGACGGAGTAACTGAGTCATCCTACTGGAAAAATCCTCATCTTTGATGTAACAGTTATGCCAGAAGTGGTTACCTGTAATGGGAGCGTCTGGTCGACTCTGTTCTTTCCTCCAGGTTGGCACAAATACTGTGATATCTTTGTGACCTTTTTCTAGAAACCAATCAACAGCTAGCTGAATCCCTCGACAGGAAAATCCTTCTTTATTTCCATGGCTGAAAACAAACAAAAAAATAATTCAGACAATTCTGATATCTCTTGATGAAGATGGCTGAGTTGAAAATGTAATACATAAAAAAGGCAAGGCGTTTATTAAAGTTTAGGAGAGAGAATTAAAAAGATTTAGGGGGAGAAAAAAAACAGGCAAACTTCAATCTCGCGAACGAAGATAAATATTCATGTCCCAGGATAATGTTGCAGGATCCAATCTGAGTCGGTCAGAGGAGCTGAAGTCCATCTGCAGGGAACATCTCTGTCTCTAGAACAGCAGCCCCCAACCTTTTGGGCATCAGGGACCAGTTTGATGGAAAGGGGTTTTTCCAAGGACAGGAGGGGGGGGGTGTTTAGTGTGCTGCCTGCGTCCCACAAATGGGGCTTCGCTTGTTTGCACGGACCGGTAACGGTCCACGGACCGGGGACCCCGGCTCTAGAATATATGCCCATTCTGGAAACACAGAATTGCTTTAGCATGAGTGTGAAGATTTGGAGGAACAAACCTTTGGTGACTGACTCAAGACTGGATCCTGCAAACTTCACTCTGTTTTCTAATGTTTCGAGGAGAGGGAAATCATTTAGTGCCAATGGGTTTTAACAGGACTGCCTGTAACTCTGGCGTTTAACAAATTGTCATACTTAGAGAAGATGAGAATTTATTAAAATAAATAAAAGATCAAAGACGAACCCATATTAAGAGAATCTATGGGGTGTTAGTAGAATTGGATTCAGAGGCAGAATTAGTTAAAGAATGCATGGTCAAATGGGCACAAAATTTTGAAGAACCGGTTCTATTAGATACTTGGGAAATTATTTGGGTGAGGAATGTTAAATTTACACAAGCCCAAAATTTAAGGGAAAATTTTTATAAAATGTTTTATAAATGGCACCTTGATCCACAAAAAATGTCTCGTATGTATCCTGACTTACAGCCTAAATGTTGGAGATGTGGATGTTTGGATGCTACTTATTATCATATTTGGTGGTCATGTAAAAATATAAAAGCTTTTTGGATTAAGATATGGTGGAACATCCAAAGAATTTTTAGAAGAAGGGTAAAATTTACCCCACAATTGTTTTTGTTAGGTATTGTTTCTGATTGTGATACTAAAGAGACTATATTGATGTTAAATTTAATCACAGCGGCAAGGTTGTTAGTAGGGCAATGTTGGAAGAAGGAATCTTTGCCTACCTTGCAAGAGTGGTTTTTTTAAAGTTTCTTATTTGGCGGAAATGGCAAAGATTTCGGCTTTCTTGAAAGACCAATCGCAAGAAAAGTATTTTTTGGTATGGAAAAAATGGATAGACTTTATACAATATAAGTTGGATATAAAAAAATATTATTTAGCTTTTCAATAACTTATATTTAAAACTTAAGATATTTCATAGACTTTATAGACTTTTTAGACTTTTTTTCTTTTTTTCTTTTTCTTTCTTTTTATTTTCTTGTATTTCCTTGTATTTTTGTCTTTTTATACACATATTATTGTTAACTATTTTATAACTTGTTTAATTAATGTACTTAGACTTGTTTATGGTTTATATCTGTTTTAAGATTTTTTGAAATTTTTTAAATTAAGCCTGTATTCAGCTCTGGGAAGGTTGGGGGAGGGTAGGGGAGGGTTGGGGGGGTTCAGGGAAGGGATTTGTATTGTTTTGTAAAATCTAAAAATTTTCAATAAAAAAAAATTGTCATAAAATCTTAACATCCTTATAACAATTGTGCTGAAGGGCAAATCAAATGCCCATAATATACAGACATTATACTGACCATTTACTGCGATTAATTTCATTTTTATTAGCATCGGTAAGTCATGAAAAACAAGATGTGTCTTTTCCATTCCGTGGTGTGATACACACGTATTCAAAAATAATGAAACCCACCTCCAGACAGAGGTAAAGCTGCATAGAAGATGTAGCCTAAAATCTGATTATGCTGTTTAATGGTGGCATCAAAGTTTGAATTTTTATCCACATGTGACTTAGGATTCAGATATTCCAGAAGCTTTTGTGAGATTTATTTATTTGTATTTATTTTATTGATACACCTATCCTCTACAACAGTGTTTCCCAAACTTGACAATTTTAAGGCATGTGGACTTCAACTCCCAGAATTCCAGCAGGGCTGGCTGGAGAATTCTGGGAGCTGAAGTCCACAAGTCTTAAAGTTGCCAAGGTTGGAGACCCCTGGTCTACAGTGATGAGATCATCCTGAGATCTATATGGTTCTCTCCCCGATGACATATCGGACTGTCTAGACTTGGCTTCTTATCCAGGCCTTAGGGTAGGGTGGATGGGACAGCACCGCCGCTACCCTGTTTGAGAGATTTTATGTCTTCTGAATTGCTGAGTTGCCACCTTGTGATTATTTTGCAGGGGTGTACTTTTTAATTTGTTTTGATTCGTTGTCTCTATCTGTTGTTTTTGTATTTTATTGTTGTGAGTCACCCAGAGTCGGCTGGAGGCGAGCGGCATCCAAGTGGAATAAATTTGTTTTTCTAGCACGCCTGAATTAGAAGACTCTGGGCAGATTACAAGTGTGCAAGAAACAGTTCAAGGGGCAGGAGCGCTAAACATCTCTCCCAAAATGGACCCCTCCAGCCATCAACTGGAAGTAACAGTTCAGTGGGACAGGGCCATAGGAGCGGGCTGCAGAGAGCTCCAGGTACAGAAAGTTCGATGTACAGGAGACCCAACAGAAAAGGACTCCCATGTGGTCCACATCTCCCTAATCCCCAGTGATGAGGGACACTTCAGGGGCACTTTTAGGATGCCCTCAGTGGATGGGCAGATTCAAACCTTGTAAGGTGGCACAGGAAGTCCTCAACTGACAATAGTTCATTTAGTGACTGTTCAAAGTTACAACGGCACTGAAAAAAAGTGACTCAGGACCGTTTTTCACACTTATGACCACTGCAACATCCCCGTGGGCACGTGATCAAAATTCGGACGCTTGGCAACTGATTCATATGACCCCCTTTTGCGACCTCCTGGCAAGCAACGTCAATGGGGAAGCCAGAATCACTTAACCACCACGTTACTAACTTCAGAGCTGCACTGATTCACTTAACCACCGTGGCGAGAAAAGTCATAAAGGGACCAAAACCTCACTTAACAACCGTCTCGCTTAGCGACAAAAACGTGGGGCCTCATCTGTGGTCCCAGACTACCTGCGTCTGATGTAACTGATGTACCTGGGGCTTGAAATGCAGGGCACTCTGCAAAATGTCCCATTTGAATCCACTGTGGTGCACTCCTAATCCACATTTGAAATAAACCTTTATCTGGATGCTGATTTCCGGGAAGGGTTTTTAGGCAAGAAAAGAAGGGCGGCGCAAGGGCAACAAAAACAGCACAAAGGTGTGAGCTACCTCATGGCCACATTACTTCCATCAATTACGATTGGCCTCAAGTTGTCAGAGCTGTCCACCACTTCCTCCTCCAGGGACAGCTCGGGACTGGTCACCTCTTTGGCAGCCGTCCCACCCAGGGGAGCCGTGGCACTTCCAAGGCTAGCCGGCCCTTCGTTCTCAGCCTTGTTGCCAAGCCTCACAAGTTCGGCCAAAATATCGTTGATGAGAGCGTCCGCCCCCAGCTTGCTCAACACGGCTTGGATCTGATCCCCCGCATAGCCCAGTTTTAAAGCAAAATCAATTTTCGCTTGATATTCTTTGTCCGGGTTCGCTTTACCATCTTCCAGTTTTAAATCCTGAAGGAGGCTGCTTTGGGAGAAGCTGGGCTGATCCAAGCAAGGAGAGCGGCAAAGCTGCCGGTGAGGCTTCTGGAGGGGAACGTCCTTCTCCCTAAACAGGAGGTTGCTGGAGCTGTTCTTGAAGCAAGGCAGCTCGTTGTCGCTCTCGGAGCTGGTCCCTTCTTCGGATTCGCTGCTGCAATCCCCGCCGCCTTGCTCAAGAGTCCTCTCGTCTCGGGAGTACCTCTTCTCCATTTTTTTTAGCCTTTCCACCATAGACCAGGCCGTCATCACGTTGACCTTCTGGCGAGATACCCCCCAATTGCTCTCAGCGCCAAAAGCACTCGGAACGGGTGCCCCGCTGCGTCATCTCGCGGCTTGCTTCTTAAACCGGTCTTGGTTTGTGAGAGTCACAAAAAACAAGTGCGCAACTTTTGGGCAGGCAGGGGAGAAAAAATTAAAAGGGGAAAAAAAAAACAGGAAGTTAGTGACAAGTAGCGATCTGCCACAATAAGAAAAGTAAATGAGAAAGTAGGCCTCAGATCCAGATAAACTAGAAGAATTAACCAATGGAACAACCTGCCTCCAGAAGCGGGGAATGCTCCAACACTGGAAGTTTTTAAGGAGAGACTGGACAGCCATTTGTCCGAAATGGTATAGGGTTTCCTGCCTGAGCAGGGGGTTGGACTAGATCAGTGGTTCTCAACCTGTGGGTCGGGACCCCATTTGGGGTCGAACGACCATTTCACGGGGGTCGCCAAACAATGCAGTCTGCCATTTTTTTCCCCCTTTTCCTTAGCTGTGCTACTCCCTTTTATTCTATTGGCTTTTGAAAGCCAACAGAATAGACTCTCTTGAATAGATTCTAATTCTATTGGCTTTCAAAAGCCAATAGGAATTGTCCAGGCTGTCTCTGCCCTGCTGAGCCCGCCAAAAGTCCCATTCTGGGTGCTGCAAGGCGAGCTTTCTGGAAGTTTCCCCCCCCTCCCTGCTGAGCAACTACTAAAAATGTAAGTAAAAGAGGGCCAGGGGTGGGAGGTGGGAGGCCGGCGGGCGCAGGGAGGGTTGCTGGCGCGCGTGGGGCCCGGCGGGTGCCTTACCTCCCTTGGGCTGGGCCAGCTGGTGGCCCAACCGGTGGTCAGCCTGCGCCGTCTCTGCCGCTTGCCAGCTACGCCTTGGCCGGTGCAGGGGGCAGCACCACGCATGCGCGGCGCTCCCAGGCAGGGAAAGTCCTCGACTTACGACCGGTTGGGTAGTCCTTGACTTACGACCGGTTGGGTAGTCCTCGACTTACGACCGGTTGGGGGTCGCGGCATTAAAAAGGTTGAGAACCACTGGACTAGATGATCTCCAAGGTCCCTTCCAACTTTATTATCATCATCATCATCATCATCATCATCATCGCACAGTCAGCCAGATGTTCAGACTGGATTTGGCATTTTGTCTACCTATCGAGTCCTTCCCAAGGACCTGGGATAGGCAGATGTGGATGTTTGATGGTATTACAGATATCGTCGCAGGATGGAAGCAGTTCCTAGTAAGGCCGCCTTTTGCAATTGACTAATGGCAAATTTGTCAATGCCAATGGTGTTCAAGTGGTGCTCCAGTTGTTTTGGGATTGCACCCAAGGAGCCTATGACTATTGGTACTACCCTTGCTTGCTTTTGCCACAGTCTTTCTATTTCTATTTGTAGGTCTTTGTATTTTGTTATCTTCTCCATTTCTTTCTCGTCTATTCTGCTGTCTCCAGGCACTGCCACGTCCACTATCCAGACTTTTTTGTCTTTCTTATCGACAATTATTAAATATTATTATTATTATTTAACCTCCCAAGCGGAAAGGATTTGCGAGGGCGGCAGAGTTATAACCCCATTGATGAGCCTCTCTGCTTGAGAAATCAATACTGTTTGGGACCATACTGTGCTGTATCAGACAGATGGGATCCAGAATTGGTTATATGCAGGCCGGATTCACACCTCATATTATGCTTAACCAGAAGCGCATAAGTTTAGTAGCAGCAAAAGCCATACCAGTTTTTAAATAGCGCATCTGACGCCATGCGATAAAGGTGAGAAGCAACATTAAAAGTGGTTCCCCCGAATAAAAACGACAAGTCTCATGTTTTTTCTTTCTCGTACACTTATACAGGTAGTCCTTGACTTACATCCATTCAATCAGTGACTACTCAAAGTTACAATGGAAATGAAAACAGTGACTTACCACTGGTCCTCAGACTTATGAACGTTGCAGCATCCTCACAGCCACGTGACCAAAAATCAGGCATTTGGAAACCAATGGGTATTTACAATGGCTGCAGCATCCGGGGGCCATGTGATGGCCATTTCTGACCTTCCCAGCCATTAAGTGAAGCTGGATCCACTTAATGACCCCATGATTCACTAACAACTGTAGCGATTCATTTGACAATTGTGGAAAAAAAATTCATTTAACAACCAGTTTGCTTGGCAATGGAAATTCTCCTCCTGATTGTCATAAGTCAAGGACTACCTGTACACATACACACAGAAAACTGATATCCACAGATTCAATAGAGGCAATATGAAACTTAGCAACACGAGAGCCGAGTGGAACTTGTTACTGGGGAACAACAAAATCAGTATAAGGAATTGTGATGTGATGCACCACAAGCGAGCCGTGCTGTGGATCGAGGCACTAAACCATGACTTCATTAGTTATCCCTGACTGAACAAATCACAACCGGCACGGTTCACATGCAACTAGTTTACAACCATGGTGTACCAACGACAATGTTTAAATTCATGCTAAATTGACATCAAACAAAACACACTATATAGTTCAGTGTGACCCACCTTAAAGTTCATGCACTGAAATCAATGGGGATGGAAAAAAGCTAAAGATATTTAAGGCTAGCGTAGAGATATTAATTTCAAGAGATCTGTATGAAAGTGTGGATTCAACCTAGGGAACTGTAGCATGTAATAGGTAGAGAAGAGCATCTGGCAGATAAACAGTTCTAAACGTACATGCATCCCTTTTCATCTCTAAACGGTAGCAAGCCCAATGATTGATATCCATAACCATAAAGAAGAAAATCCATAATTTCCCGAATGTATCTCCTGCATACAAATAATTCCAAGTTCAAATCGCTGATATTTTTGGTCGGAGGGACTAGGATTTGGTTGGAGTGCTACTGCAAGAGCAGAGATGAGCGAGTAATCTAATGAAGCAGTGACTCAACAGTAGAAAAGTACCAGTTAGCATATTCTCCCACTCCTTCTTAGTGACTGGTTAACTTCTTAACACTGTCGATAACATACTGGGACCATCCCCATCACCACATTTCACGTATCAGCTGAGGGTTGTCCAAACTGAAACTTACTGAAGGAGAAACGGATCGTTGTTTTCCTGGATAGCTCCAAGAAACTGCCCAGCCAGTCTTCAGCAGCTGCAAAAAGATAAAAATAAAAAAGGAAATTACATGTTAGAGATCGTTAGGAAAGGGATGGAAAAATAAAACTGCTAATACTGTAATGCTTTTGTGTAAGCGTATGGTAGGACTGCATGAAATACTATGCCTGGCCTTGTCTGCGGGAACTCAAGCAAACGGCAGAGCAAGAAAGCTTTAGCCAGGGTTAAAGGAAGTGGAGAAACTCGTTCGAAGAAATATAACATTTTGATTTCAGAAAATACATTAGTAAGGGAAATCACCCTAGAGATATGGGAAACAATGCACAAGATGGAAAAAGCCGAGATTTTTCTCCCTTCTCTGTAATATTAATATGGGGGGGGGGTCAAATGGCACTGCTAGATGCGTCAAGGTAACTGGCCCAAAGCTAAATAGTGGAATCACGGTAAACTCCGATTTAAACTTTTTAAATTTAAAAATTTAAAGTTGCTAAGACAAATTCATCTGAAACCGTCAATGAGTACTAATCCTTACCAGGGGCCTCCAGATTTGGCAGTTTTAAGACTTGTGGATTTCAACTCCCAGAATTCCTTGGCAGCCATGCTGACTGGGGGATTCTGGGAACTGAAGTACACAAGTCTTAAAGTTGCCAAATTTTGAGAGCCCTGCTTTATCCTATCACACCAGCATGGTATTATGATTGGAAACTGTGCTGAGTAAGATTTTCCAGCCTAGCGTACTGAGTAAGATTTTCCAGCCTAGCGTATCTTCTAGGACAAGGGTCCCCAACCTTGGCAACTTTAAGACCTGTGGACTTCAACTCCCAGAATTCCCCAGCCAGCATGGCTGGGGAATTCTGGGAGTTGAAGTCCACAGGTCTTAAAGTTGCCAAGGTTGGGGACCCCTCTTCTAGGGAATACTGTGAAACTTACCTTGAGTCCCAGGAAACAACCTAAGATACTAATAGAAGACTATATCATACAGTGAATGGCTAAGGGAACTAGGTTATGTTTAGCTTAACGAAGGCTGAGAAGGCTTAGGGCAGCAGTTCTCAACCTGTGGGTCGGGACCCCATTTGGGGTCAAATGACCATTTCACGGAGGTCGCCAAACAACGCAGTCTGCCATTTTTTCCCCCTTTTCCTTAGCTGTGCTACTCCCTTTTATTCTATTGGCTTTTGAAAGCCAATAGAATAGACTCTCTTGAATAGAGTCTAATTCTATTGGATTTCAAAAGCCAATAGGAATTGTCCAGGCTGTCTCTGCCCTGCTGAGCTCGCCAAAAGTCCCAGCCTGCAAACGGTGCTGCAAGGCGAGCTGTCTGGAAGTTTCCACCCCTCCCTGCTGAGCAACTACTAAAAATGTAAGTAAAAGAGGGCCAGGGGTGGGAGGTGGGAGGCCGGTGGGCGCAGGGAGGGTTGCTAGCGCACGTGGGGCCCGGCGGGTGCCTTACCTCCCTTGGGCTGGGCCAGCTGGTGGCCCAGCCAGTGGTCGCCCTGCACCGTCACTGCCCCTTGCCAGCTATGCCTCAGCCGGCGCAGAGGGCGGCACCACGCATGCGCAGCACTCCTGGGCAGGGAAAGTCCTCGACTTGCGACCGGTTGGGGGGTCACGGCATTAAAAAGGTTGAGAACCACTGGCTTAGGGAGACCCAATAGTAACCTTCCAATACTTAAAGGGCTGTAACGGAGAAGAGGAGATTGATTTATTCTCCATAGCGTCTGAGGGCAGGAACGAAGCAATGGGTAGAAGCTCGTCAGAGGGAGATTCAACCTGGAAATAAGGAGGAACCTGTTGACAGAGCAATTAATGAATGGAGTTGTGGGTGCTCCATCGCTGGAGGTTTTCAAGAAAAGACTGGACAACCGATTGTCCAGGATGGTATAAGGACTCCTGCCTTGAGTAGGGGGTTGGACTAAAAGACCTCCAAGGTCCCTTCCAGCCCTATGACTCTAAGATTAAAATTTCAGTCTGTTTTAAATCACCAACTCCAGAAACACATGAGCGAAAACAGTGATGCTGAATTGTTATTTTCCTGTGGTCTTCAGAAAGCGAGCTAACCACAGACCAATGAAACTTTCAATGACAGTTTCACAAAACGTTCACCAAAAATGAAAAATGAGCTCTACTCAGTCTCCACCATGTCACACGGGCTGACATAAAGCTCCTTTTGAAATCCATCTGTCATCTGAAAGGCTTCATACCGACCACTGTTCTCAAGGAAGTAGGCAATATCCTCCCCTCCAGATGTGTTGGGAAACAATTCCCAACCACTTAGGCTAGCGCAAAGGATGGTTACCAATTCTGGAAGGGCATACGTAAAGGGCGTCAAACGGCACACATGAAAGGGCACCCTTGGTGGTCAACAGACGGGATTGGGGTACGCATCTAAGCCCACCTTTTTTTTCTGGGACGTGCTGTCAAGTTGGGAGCAACTTTCACATCAATAGTTCCTCCATCAATTGTCAGAGGTATATTCCACTGCTCTGAGAGAACATACAGTATTCCAAAAAAAGAGAAAATTTGTAACTAAGGGTTGAAGTGAGGGGTCCTTGGTGGTCTCTGAGCTTAGTTGTCTAGGACTTGATGACCAGGCTCACCCCCAAAGGAGGGGTCAAGTGCATCATCAGTTTGAAGTCTTCTTATGCCCACAAGAGATCTTTTCCAACACATTGATAGGGGAAGGATATTTGTAGGCTGGAAAGGTATTACACTAAGAGTAACATCAGACCAATTAAGTCCCGATCTTGACAGACTTGAACAATGGGCCTTATCTAACAAAATGAAATTCAACATAGATAAAAGTAAGGTTTTACACTTAGACAAGAAAAAACAACTCCATAGGCATAGACTGGGTGAGACTTGGCTTAATGCCAGTAACTGCAAGGCATCTTGAAGTCCTAGTGGACAATCACTTAAAGATGAGCCAAGAGTATGCAGCACCAGCAGCCAAAAAAACCAATGCAATCCTAGGCTGCATTAATAGAGGGATAGAATCAAGATCACGTGAAGTTCTAGTACCACTTTACAAAGCCTTAGTCAGACCACATTTGGAATACTGGATCCAGTTCTCGTCCGCACAACATAGAAAACATGTTGAGACTCTGGAAAGAGGCAGAGAAGAGCAACAAAAATGATTAGGGGGCTGGGGGCTACCACGATGTAAAAAAGATGTTAAGACTCTAGAAAGAGTACAGAGAAAAGCAACAAAGATGATTAGGGGACTGGAGGCTAAAGCATATAAGGAACGGTTGCTGGAATTGGGTATGTCTAGCTTAACGAAGAGAAGGACGAGGGGGGACATGATAGCAGTGTTCCAGTATCTCAGGAACTGCCACAAAGAAGAGGGAGTCAAGCTATTTTCCAAGGCGCCTGAAGGCAGGACAAGAAGCAACGGATGGAAACTAATCAAGGAGAGAAGCAACCTAGAACTAAGGAGAAACTTCTTGACAGTTAGAACAATTAACCAGTGGAACAACTTGCCTCCAGAAGTGGTGAATGCTCCAACACTGGAAGTTTTTAAGAAGAGACTGGACAGCCATTTGTCTGATGCCTGAGCAGGGGGTCACACTAAATGACCTCCAAGGTCCCTTCCAACTTTATTATTATTATTATTATTATTATTATTATTATTATTATTATTATTATTATTATTATTATTATTAATTGGGTATGTCTAGCCTAATGAAAAGAAGGACTAGAGGTGACATGATAGCAGTGTTCCAATATCTGAGGGGCTCGTACAAGGATGAGGGGGTCAAACTATTTTCCAAAGCACCAAAAGGCAAGACAAGAAACAATGGTTGGAAACTAACCGAGAGAAGCAATTTGGAACTAAGGAGAAATTTCCTAAAGGTGACAGCAATCAGCCACTGGAATAGCTTGCCTTCAGAAGCTATGGGTGCTCCATCACTGGAGGCTTTCATAAAGAGACTGGACAGCCATTTGTCTGAATTGGTATAGTGTCTTCTGCTTGAGCAGGGGGTTGGACTAGAAGACTTCCAAGGTCCTTCCAATTCTGTTATCCTATGTTCTGTGTTCCTTGAGTTCCACTGACTCTTATCTACTGCCAATTTGTACCTACTTACCATTAGTAATTCAAATTCCTATATATCAGACATGTCAAACACAAGGCCCGGGGGCCGGATGTGACCTGAGAAGTGGTTTCGTGTGGCCCGCGAAGCCCTCCTGGAAACAGGGAGGGAACGGCCCCCACTGCCTTGGCCCTGGCCCAGGCCGGCCGGGAGCCCATGTACAATTTTGGGGTGGCCATCTATGCTGAAATGCATTCAGTCTCCCTCTGACTTTGCCCTGGTACCCATCATGAACAACCTGGCTAAGGAGAGCAAGCACAGAAGCAGCAGCCTTGAGGAGGAGGTAAGTGCAGCTGGGCGACCCCTTGGGGACGTGGGGCTGGGCTTGATGCCACAGGTGCTCAAGGGCCACAGGTGCTGGGCATTTGACCTCTGCTGCCCAGGGCTCCGGGCAGCCTGCACCACCATCTAGCCCCCCCCCCTCCACATGGCCTGAGAGGAACAGTGAGGCTCCGCCATTGGACCATGCCTTGGCACTTGCCCCGGTCCCACCCCCTTCTGCCAGAGACCCTCAGGTCTATCCCACTCCTGCCCAGGCCCCCACAGGCACCCTTGACGGGAACGATGTAGAGCTGGCCATGCCCACCCAGTAGGCCACACCCACTCCATCCACACCCACCCAGTAGGCTGCACCCACTCTGACCACACCCACCCGGCCCCCTGAGGTCAATCACACCCCTGCTATAGAGAGCTAGTGTGGAATAAACTTCTACACATTTGAAAAACCTTAGTTCCAGGTTTCTTGCGTCTTGACAAGACTGCTCTCAAGTAGTCCACCAATCAGATGACTGGCCAATATGCCCAGGATCAGGAAGTCATATATTAAAGCAACAAAACTGTCTTATGCATATATTACACACCGACTCATAGATAAATTCCACTGAATTCAATGGCAAGTATTCCTAGTGCAAATATAGGTGTGTCAAAAGCTAGGACGTAGTGCACA